CAGGAAACCCATTTTATCCTAAAGGGAATACAATGCAAATTGCTGAGTGTATGAAAATAATGATGATGTAATTTTTTGAAAATCATAATGGCTAATTTGATGAATAGCTAATATGTGCTACGTATTGCTTAAAATACTTTACATGAATTATCTCATTTAAACTCAAAGAATCTTCCTTTACTTTAATATGAGGAAACCAAGATTTAGAAAGTTTAGAAAGTCAGGGACCTTGATCAAGGTTATTAGCTAGTAAATAATAGAGACTAAATTTAGCTCAAGACAGTCTGTCCGTGCTTTTATGGTCCAAGCGAGATATAGTTATAATTAAGTGGTGCTTATGAAGTAATGATTGATGAGTCAGGGCCTTCCTGGTGGTGCAGCAGGTTGAACGCAGTGCTGTGAGGCTGTCTGCAGCCCCTGCAGCACAGGTTCGATTCCCGGCCAGCCAGGGAGAAACCACATGGCACTGCAGACCCCTCCTGTCTTGCCCGCTGCTCCTCTCAGCAGTGTGTTTCGTCAGTCTGCCTGTTCTGTTCACCGCTCTGTCTATGGTGAATCCTCTCACCCTCCCACACATCTGGCCTGTACCCTGGTTCTTATATAAATAAAAAAATAAATCTTTAAACTAAATAAATAAAAAAATAAAATAAAATTGCTTTTGAGATGGTACATAGAACCAGCTGTGTTTAAAGGACCAAAAATTAATTCATCAGGTAAAGTGTGTCTCAGAAGAACTATGATTACTATGGAGATATTATAACCTGGAAAGTAGGTTGTGATTAGATTGGCAAATAGTATAATAATATAATAATTTTTAACATAATCTAAATGTCCATTAAAAATCTCTTTAATAATAATATTTTCTTCTCCTTCATTAGGTACAATAGAATACTCCTATTTAAGGAATCTTTTGCTGTACCCAATTTTAATGACAGATTTGACCCTTATTTACTCTGAGTTGTTAAGCACAACTGATCTGGGCTTGTGCCTTACTGTAGCTGAGTTATCCTATGTATCAGATATCTACCTTACCACCTTACTGACCCCTCCATGACAAGGTTGCCTTAGTTAAAGCCTAAAATTCCTAAATTATTGGGGATAAAAATTGTTCATCATTTGATCCTGACCAGTTAGGTGGATTTGAATTTGGCCTTCTTCACAATGGACCATTTCTGACACTATTCTTTACTGCTGGTTGAGATGTGATTAACTTTGATTCAATAGAACTGATTTAAATGAGCCATTTTTGCTTCAATGATTTTCAATCAATTGATGTTCCCACTCCTACTTATTAGCTATAATGAGTCAGAAATGGCTAATTTCCTTTCAAAGAGCAAAATAATTTTCCCCACATTTGATTTTGTGGGAGAAGTGATTATTTTTCTCTACTTCCACTCATAGTTCTGATGGAAATTTCTGTCAATTGAGAAATATGGTGAGGGAACTAATGCATTAAACACAATTGCAACAGATACTACTGTGCTGTATATGGAAATTTATATTGCATTTGTGAAATGACTTGCTGTTCCAAAGTCATTTCATTTTCTCCATTTTTTGAAAGGGTTGTGCTGTCATATACCCTGTATTTTGTTTTATGTTCATGTGCATGTACCGCTCCACCCTCCACACACCCATACCCCATGCCCCACACTTAATGAGCATCTAAGTTGGTCTCACTGGAAGCATCATTACCACATACTAAAAGGCACAAGAGAAAGCTAATTCTGCAAAAAGCCAAAGAATTGACATATTATAGCTGAACAGAACTTTTTAAAAGTCCCAGGATTCCAGCTTAAATTGAAACAGTAAGGAAGTATTATAGAAAATAAAACTTTCTAATTTTTTTTCATATTTTCACCATTGTGAATAAGGGGACTGAATAATATTGACTCTATAATTGAAACAGTAAGGATTACTGAAAATAAATTTTTCTGAGGTTTTTTTTTTCAAGTTTCACCACAGTGAAGAAGGGAACTGAATATTGACGCTAGAAATATTTTCTGAAGATTTTGTTTCCATTGAAGAGCAGCTTGTGGTATTATTATCATTAAAAATGTTATGCAAAAAAATTGCATGACAGAGGGTCAGGTTAACACAACATATTTTGAAAAATGTGCAGACAAAACAAGTCCTAAGCTTTATAGAATATTATGACAGGAAAGAGATGCTGTACATAAACATGAATTACCTACCAAACCACCCAATTTCTCATCTCTCAATCTCTCTTCACTAGTGTCTTATTCATTCAGTAAAAAGTAGATTCTAGAGAGGAAAAGGCAAGAAGAATAAACAGCGATAAGTCTGTCTTGGGAGAATATTGTATTCTAGTGGGGGAGGCCTATTAATATGCTATTAACAAACTCAGGATGAGAACAATGTAATAACAAAGATAATAGCATTTATCAAATTTTTCTGTTACTTAGTTTTCTTAATTCCTTGGGATTTTATTCTATCCAGAAGAGAGAAATTAAATCTCAGCTAGTTCTGTTAAATTTTGATTGGTTCATAGTTGATTGCCTAATGGTACTCCCTCATCTTTTTCTAGGATTGTGTTTAAGCTAGTGGTGGTAGAATGAGTACCATGTTGTCAGGTGAAGGGTCTTTGGTTGTCATCTCTCCATGTTGTCACTGTTAAGGCGCTCTCCCCACCTGGACTTGGTGGTTGGTAGAGGCTGATCATTAAGACATCTTCCTTAACTGTGACCAAGGCCTGTTGCTGCTCATGGTTCTTTGTTAATGTGTTCTTCACTCTAAGATACTTTGTACAAAATTCTGCTTCTCCTGTGACTGCCTTACAATGTGTCTAAAAATTGACCCCATGAATCAGCCTGACAGACACACATAAAAATTCTGAATTGTTGCCTTCTTAGTTCCATCCAGGGAAGCAAAGTACAAGCCTTCTCCACTGTCAAGTTCTTGACTTCTCCAGATTTCTATTACCACAAATTCCTCCCACTGAAAGAACTTCCCTTCAAGAAGGGAGAAAACTGTTACCTCTTGCTTCTCTACAATTTCTCATTTTTTACCCAGAAACAATAAGCTTTGTCTATTTAGATAACAGAAGGAAAACCTCTCTTTCCTAGTAGTCTCCTAAATCTGTTGTCAATGGTTTTAGACTTCATGGTCTTAGATCCCTATCACCTTAGTTTTTTTTATACTAAGTACTAGAATTTTTAACACCAATCCCCCCTTTTCAAAAAATCTAACCTTAATTTGTTTATTTCAGCATTCTTATTTTATATTGAGGATATAGACCTTACAGTCCGTTTAAATGGAGAAAAGTAACAGGGTCAAAATGAATTACCAGAGCAAAAACTATTGATTAATAGATCAAAGTATCATTCTGCTACACAAATAACTACAGGATGTGAAAAATATTACACTAGAACATTGTAATACAGAATCTGGTAAATAATGAAGAAAGTGGTCCTTACCAAGGATTGCATTATATTATAAATTATATTTCAAGAGAAATAGTAGTTTTAATACTCCTATCTCTACCTAGAGTTTCTCTCATAGGAAATATATATGTATCCTTGAGATTTTTATCTTTATTAATTTTGTCTTGAATGTAAACACCAGTTTTAGGCAGAAATAGATTATCATCATCCACTTAAAAGCAAATAATACTAATTGGGTTTCCCACATCACAATTCTTACACTGTTGAGGTACAATAAGGTCAAGTGTCCTATAATACAGAAATGTTGTAAAAGAATTAATCTGTATACTTATATAGACAAGAGAAGGAGCGAGGAAAAATATTTGTGCCTTAGGGAAGGTGTGGAAACTATCCCACATTCACATTCTAATCTTTTGGCATATAATTAAATCCCTCTAAGGACCAGATAACCCCAATGTCTTCAACTTTATAACTCAGAGATCTCTCTAAGTTACTTGACATTAACATTCTTGACATGTAAATATATACCTTCAGAGTTAGTAATTCTCTTTTGAGTTCTCACTATATCATTTTAAATTATTTTCCAAAGCTTGCTTCTAGTACAGGATCCAAAGATTCAGTAAAATTTCAGTACTAAAGATAATGTAATTATGCAGAGACACAAAGATAGATTTTCCTACACCACAGATCTCAGATGTGAATACATAAAGAATATAGGGATTATATTTGGTATTTGGAGTTGATTCCATAATTTATTCATATAAACTATTCTCATACTTCATAAATCTCAGTGGCAATGAGCTAATATATATTTTCATGAATTTCTAAAGAAAATTTTATTGTCTGTCCAGTGACTGTTGTAGGGGAGAAAGAGAATTCCCTCCACATCTCTAGTTATATATCTTTTTGTTCTGGAAATTATATTTAAAACAGACATAACATTGTTGGTTTTCTCTTAATTGCTCTCCCATATCCCTTGCTCTAGTCTACACTTGTTGACAGGTTATTTGGGAGAAAAAAAAAATATATATATATATATATATATATATACTGTCATTGGCACCTGTGGTTAAAATATGTACTGTTAATTTAAAATTTGAACAAACACTTTCTTTCAATATGTCTCAACTAACTTTTAAAAAAAATTTATTGTAGGATTTGAAATAGCAGAAACCTTGGGCTATAGTGAATTTCAGTTAAATTTTAAAACAAAATTAATGTGAATACTGTAAAGTTGAAGTACTAGCATAAATATGCATACATGTGTTCTATTCTCTATAAAAATGCAAAGTTCAAGAAAGTGAGGTTATCTATTTTTATATTAAATACTTGTTCATATGGGTGTCAGATATATTCTCAACATTAGTTCCATAAAAGAATTTTTAAGTTGTCATTTGAAATATTTTTTTTCAAGATTATTCTGATGATTGGAAAGGCCTAATAAGGTCATTTACAAAATGCTTTACTCAGATTTCAGAACTGGAAACAAAAGCCACTCCAGGTACATTATGTACAAATGACTCAATACCAGGAATTAGGTCCTTACCAAATTATTTTTAAAAGAGAGCAATTCAGTATCTGCAAACTCTATGCATTTTTTTGGACTTTACGGTCACAGCACATTATCTGTTGCACACATTAGGAAAGCCACTGCTCCTAACTGGAGTTGTTATGTTCCCATCACAACTGCCTCACAAATGTGAAGCTGGTGACCAGGGACTGGAACATGAATTCTAGTGCCGCAAATATTCATCTTTTCCAGAACTGCTTCTCTGCTCCCCTCGCTGCATAAAACAATCTCCATCTCATCTCTGAATTCCAAGTTTCCATGGACTATGTCTTGATTCTTGTCCTTTATGGCAATGGAACATCAAAAATGTAGTTTGTACCTTCCCAGGCACTGCTAATGGAAAAAAAAAAATGATGAAATGAAGTTTGAGTTAGTCTATTCAAGAATCAACCAGACGGAATACAAAGTTGCATACACAATTGGATTTCAAAACTTTAGAAAAATATGTGTATCAAAGTTTAGGTAGTAGTTACATCTGCCTATTGTAGGGTGATTTAAAATTTCTTCTTTGACTGTTATTTAATTTAGTTAATCAAGATGATGATACTTGCTTTAATTTTAAAAATATGTGTGCCTGTGTACCTTTGTAAATAATTTGGTCTTGTCCTTAGAGAGGACTGGCTTTTGTTCATGATGTTAAACTCTAAACCCTTGGAATTTTCAGAGTGGCATTAGTGTCTGTTTTTCACGATAATCCCTGGACTACATCTGATGATTTGATAGTTTATGCTAGCAGGGTGATGCAAGATAAGCCCCAAAGGCTCTGTCATATCATATTGACCTCTTGGGAAGGAAGGCTGGAAATTGAGTGCAACTACATGGACAATCTACCAATTAATGGTACCTGCTTAATGAAGTCCCAATAAAAACTCTTCAAAGCTCAAGTGAATTTCCTGGGTTGATGATATTCCGTGGATGCTGTCATTTATAAAAACCAGTAATGTAATATGCCCTGAGAATGACAGAAGCTTTGAATTTAGAGCTCTTTAGCTTTTGCTATTTCTTTTATTTTCTCTCTTTCTTTTATACTTTCTTTTCAGTATATCCATTTTCCTAAGTCTAATTATGAAATACTGTAGTAATTTTTCAAGTACTAGTAAAAAGAGAATTTTCTCTTTTAGTTTAGAAAATTCTTGCTTCTACCACCATTTAAAAAACAAAAGCGTAAATCTACAACAATAATATATAAAAGTACTACTTTTACAAAAGTCATAATGCAAAAGCAAAGTCAAGGTAACAGTTTTTCCCTTCCCAACTGTATGTTGATTTTAGTTTATTCTATATTGACTGAAGCTACATGACTTTATAAGAAATGTGAGTTGGACCTGTTCAGTTTTCTATCCATGGCTCTGAATCATTTATCAATGACACTGCATAAAATCAACCTTACTGATCCATGTTACATTAGCAGGGTTCTCTAAAGAAACAGAACCAATAGTGGTGCGTGTGTGTGTATGTGTGTGCAATATTTATATAATGTACATTATAGACATATATTCATATATTTAAATATATATTTGGTTCCAAATATTTAATATGATTATACTTTTTGTATAACATGAAAATATAAATTTTGAAGGTTTTATTCCACGTCTTAAGACCTGAGAACCAGGAGAACTGATGGTGTTCTTCCAATCTCAAGGAAGACCAGCAAGATGGAAACCCAGAAAGTCTAATGATTTAGTGAAAAGGCAGGAAAAAGACAACGTCCTATTTAAAGGCAATTAGGGAGGAGAAATTCTTACTCAAAGAAAGGTCAGTGAATTTGTTCCAGTTAGATGATGGAAAGAGTAGATGAAGTCCACCAACATTGGGGAGGGCAATCTTCTTCACACCATCTGAAATTCAATTAATCTCATGCCAAAATACCTTCACGGGAACACATAGAATGATATTTGATTAAATAGCTGTAATTCCTATGGCCCAGTGAAGAGAACACATAAAATTAACCATCATATAGGTAAATTATATGTAGGTAGTTAAGTAGGTAGGTAGCTAGATAATAGAGAGGCAGATAGATAAGATAGAAAAATAAAGAACTCAAACTGTTGCTGAAACCTTTTATATCAGTGTGTTTCTCCCATCTTATGCTGAGTCTTTGATGTCTAAAATATGTTTCTCTAAGATTTTTAGTTCATCCTTTCTCATTTATTCCAGCCATAATCCTTAATCATGGAGATGAATGATATCAATCAGATCCCTTGACATAACCAAAGCCCTAGTTTGGAATCTGAGATTAGAGTGAGGACATTTTGGTGAATCATATATTTTAGAAAAGCAAAGAAAAAATAGTTTTACTTGTGGGGAAAGAAAGGGGAAAATGGACGAATCTGGATCCTTATTTTCTGGTTATATGATTCAAGCAAAAATATGATGTGAACTTACATGTTCTTTGTCATTGATATGGTTTTCATCTTTGTCCATCAATTACTATAAAGAAATTACATGATAAAAGTGAGATTTTTTTTAGAGACATTTGAATATAGAAGACCTACACTTAAATGTCACAGAAATTGGACATTGAATCAAATATTTTAAGTAATGGCACCATCTAAAGGCATAAATCAAATCTGCATACCCTACTGAATCTTGCTCTCTGAACAGAAGGAAGAACTTATTTTGGCATAAGAAAAAGTGAAACTTCACAAACTGTAAGAGTTCATCAGAATGTATCCCAACTGATTTTCATGTGTCTATAGATTACTGCTTTTTCCTGTCGTAGTATAATTTATTAATATTTTTTAAATTTTGAGAACACAATTGCACTAAGAACTGTATAAAGCACTTGAAATTCAAGCATGCATGAGTTGTCCTTTTTTTAATGCTGTCTTCTATGTGGGTTTGATCAAAAGGGGTAACAAATGATACCTTTTTTTCTCTATCACCATCCATTATACTCCCTGACCCTCCTCCATGGCAGTGGTCCCACTTGGTCAAGGAGTCTACATTTTACATGTCACTGAATTTGATTAGCTAGTATTTTTTGAGAATTTTCACATCTGTAGTCATCAGAGATATTGGTAGTTTTATTTTTGTGTGGTTTTTTTAATCTAGTTTTGTTTAGGGTAATGTTTACATCATAGAATATGTTAGGAAGTAGTCCCTCCTTGAATTTCTTGGAATAATTTATTATTAAAGTTTACTAAATTTATTACTAAAACTTGTTAAAATGGGCATAAGTTTTTCTTTAAAGGTTTGATGATATTTATTTGAAAAATCATCTAGTCCTTGGCTTTTTTTGGGGGGAGGGAATATTTTTAATTATTATCTTGTGGCAAACTAATTGTAACCATTTAGTTTTATTTTAAAACAAATAAAACAAATTAATTAATTAATTAATTAAAAGCAGACCTTGTCTGCTTTTTTATAAATCTCTCTTCATATTTACATGCATAGTCCACATCCCAAAAAAATAGAATTTTCTTTTAAGGTATAATTTTGTCTCCAGATAAAATAAACAACTTAAGTCAATTTTCATGTTGGTGTGTTTTTCATAATGCTACAGAGTAGATGTTCAATAAATCCTCATTAACAAGTATTAATTTTTGTCAGCTCATTGATCAGATAATGACTGATTAGAATCTAGCCTGACAAATGTTATCATCTGACATTAACATTTGGGCAAGCTCTGTTTATTTCCCCAAAAAGTCAGTAGACAAGCTAAAGGCAGAAATATGCCAGAAACTAGTTTTCCTAAAGAGCATGGCAACAGCTCCGCCACCCACTGTTCAGCTTGTGTTAATTCATGGAAAAAAAAGGTTACTCCTCCTCATGGTTAATGTCACTTTTTCCCTCACCAGTCAGAGCGTAGGCCCCTGGATATTGTCCTACCCAAACAAATGCTGTTCTGTTTTGAAAAGAATAATTCCAGGGGTCCCAAGCACAAGTCTCATGAAACATGGCTGATCTAGCACCCTTCCCTGCACCTAGACACAACATCTTTATCCACTTACTTATTCATAGAATCACCTATGTTGTAGACTCCTTGGTGATCCTTAGCCCAACAGTGGGCAAAGGAAATTTAAAATAAGCATCTATGACTTTTGATACATCAAAAGTATCAATACTAATAACTAGTATACAAATAAATGATTGTAGTTTTTTTCCTTCCAGACAAGTTGTCTTAATTTATGTATTGCTAATTTTACCCTGAGAGTAAGCAAAAGAGAAAACTTTGAAATAAGAAAGATCTGAATTTATCATTTATCTTTTTTTCCAAATATGTCCTCTTTATTTTTCTTTCTGAAAATGTCAGAATACATTGTTCTATTTTCACATGTTTGCTCCTGGAGGAATTTCTTTCGACCATTCTCCTTTAATGCTGTGACCCATTACCTTCATTGGTCTGTTACTTTTTCTTCCTTAGTCTTGTTCTGAAGGACTATCCTCTCTCCTTGAATAGTTCTTTATCCTACAGATTCAGAGCAACTGAAGTAACTATATCTGGAAGAAATGATGTAAATGGTTCATTTATAAAGTCTATTATGTCACTGCTAGATGATAAGTGTGACTGGGTTAAAGAATTTAAACTAGGCCAGTCAAGGAATAGTTTTGCCAATCTAAGTTAATTTTTTAAATATTTCTCACAATGGGATTGAGCGTAAAAAAAATGAAGAAAATCTTAATGCCCTTTCTTGTCAGAGTGTGGATGCTGATTAGAGATACAAAAATTTGTCATAATTCTCCTATGCAAAATGATAGGGTGCTAGAGTAAATTCCTATTGTCACTTACGATATTTTATCTAGATTTTGTCTTAATACAATGACTAAGGGGGGCAGACCGGGCGTGCAGGGGAGCGCGTTCCCGCATCGCCATTTTGCAGCAGGGACCCTTCTTGCTGGAGACTGTGTGAACCCAGCAGAAGGCTCACTGAGGAGACAGAGGTTAAGCTGGGAGGCTTGCCCATGCCGGGCACCTTCTAGCCTGCAGTTCCAGCCCAGAGGGGAGCAGCATCCACCGCTGGGGCAGACCGGGCGTGCAGGGGAGCACGTCCCCGGGGCACCGACATCATTTTGCAGCAGGGACCCTTCTTGCTGGAGACTGTGTGAACCCAGCAGAAGGCTCACCGAGGAGACAGAGGTAAGCTGGGAGGCTTGCCCATGCTGGGCGCCTTCTAGCCTGCAGTTCCAGCCCAGAGGGGAGCAGCACCCACCGCTGGGGCAGACCGGGCGTGCAGGGGAGCGTGTTCCCGCATCGCCATTTTGCAGCAGGGACCTTTCTTTGCTGGAGACTTGTGAACCCAGCAGAAGTTCCCCAGAGGAGCCAGTGGTGAGCTGGGAAGGTCGCCCAAGATGCCGGCCAGTAACAGCAACACAGTGTCACAAGGAATACGGCAAATTAGAAAACAGGCAGCAGGGAGTAGAAAAACCACATGCAACCCAGCAACTCCTCAGCAAAAAAGCACACCACAAAAAGAAAACCATCTACCAGATTGCAACGACAGTAACTTGGAAGAACTTCTGAGCCTTCCAGATAGAGAATTTAAAATTGCTGTGATTAAAAAACTGACAGAAGTCATAAAGGAAAACAATGATAAGGGGAAAATAATTAATGACCAGAAGAATGAAATTGAGTCCCTAAAGAGGGAAGTAAAAGAAATGCAGGAGATCAAAGAATTAATGGAGACGCTAAAGAACTCTGGGAAAAGCAATGAAAGCAGAATAGATGAAATGGAAGAATGAATAAGTACTCTTGAAGACACAGAAATAAAAAGAACTAAAACAGAAAAGGAAGGAGAAGTACGAAGGAAAAAGACCGAAGAAAGACTTCGGGAACTATCTGACTCCATGAGGAAAGGAAATATAAGAGTTATAGGAATCCCAGAAGGAGAGGAGAGAGATGTAGAAACAGAGAAAATATTCATGGATATAATTGAAGAGAACTTCCCAAACGCGAAGAAGGATCTGAAAATTGATATACAAGAAGCAAGAAGAACACCAAACTTCCATGACGAAAGGAAAATACAGCAAGACACATAATAGTAAAGCTCCCAAGAATCCAAGACAAGGAAATAATGAAACTAACAAGAGGGAAGAAACAGATAACATTCAAAGGGAAACCAATCAGGCTGACATCAGACTTCTCTGAAGAAACACTACGGGCAAGGAGAGAGTGGAGGGACATAGTCAACAGACTCCAAGAAAACAGATGCCAACCAAGAATACTCTATCCTGCAAAGCTCTCCTTCTTCTTTGAAGAAAGAATAAGGACCTTCCCAGACAAACAGAAACTCTGGAATTTTATTACGACTAAACCCCCACTCCAAAAAATACTACAAGGAGTCCTAAAGCCAGAACCTCAGAGGGACGAATAACAACAAAAGAAGGCCAAAGAAAGTTATTAAAAGAATAAATAAATAAAATCAAAGGAAAGACAAACACAATGGCAAATACAGATGCTAACATATCAATACTAACTCTAAATGTAAATAGACTAAACTCTCCAATAAAAAGACACAGAGCTGCAGGCTGGATTAAGAAACAAAACCCAACCTTTTGCTGTCTCCAGGAAACACATTTAGCTGCAAAAGATAAAAATAGACTCAAAGTTAAAGGATGGAAAACAATTCTACAAGCAAATGGACCAAAAAAGAAGGCAGGAACAGCTATACTCATATCAGATAAAACAGATTTCAAACTTAAAAAGATAAAAAGAGACCCCAGTGGTCATTACATTATGATCAAGGGGACAATACTTCAAGAAGAAATAACACTCATTAACATATATTCACCAAACGAAGGAGCACCAAAATATATCAGACAACTATTGGCATCTCTGAAAACAGACATCAGAGAAAACACATACGTAGTGGGAGACTTCAACACACCACTATCAACAATGGATAGATCAACAAGACAAAAAATAAGTAAAGACACTAAAGCTCTAAATAAGGACCTAGAGCATTTGGGCTTAACAGACATATATAGAACACTAAACCCAAAAAAATCTGAGTATACATTTTTCTCAAGCGCACACGGATCATTCTCTAGGATCGATCATATACTGGGGCACAAGACAAACATCAACAGATACACCAAGATTGAAATCATACCAACCATCTTTTCTGACCATGAAGGCATCAAACTAGAAATAAATCATAAAAAGAAGGCAAGGTACTCTCCTACCTCGTGGAGATTGAAACCCACACTACTGGAAGTCCACTGGACTAACGAGGAAATAAAAGAAGAAATTAAAAATTCTTTGAATTGAATGACAAGGAGGACACCAATTTCCTAAATGTATGGGATGCAGCAAAAGCAGTAATAAGAGGAAAATATATAGCAATAGATGCTCACATCAAGAAACAAGAAAGAACTCAAAGAAACAACCTAATCTCGAAGCTCAAAGATCTAGAAAAAGAACAACAAAAAACCCCCAAAACCAGCAGAAGAAAAGAAATAATAAAAACCAAAGCAGAAATAAATGAAATCGAAACTAAAAAAATAATCCAAAAGATCAATGAAACCAAGAGCTGGTTCTTCGAAAAAATAAATAAAATAGATAAACCCCTAGCCAGGCTCACAAGGGCAAAAAGGGAGAAAGCACAAATAAATAGGATAATAAATGAAAGAGAAGAAATCACAACGGACACAGCAGAAATCAAAAGAATAATTAATAACTACTATGAACAGTTATATGGAAACAAGTTCAACAATCTAGAGGAGATGGACAAATTCCTACAACTCTACAATCACCCAAAGCTAGATAAAGAAGAAATAGAACACCTAAACAGACCAATTACAATTAGCGAAATTGAAATGGTAATCAAAAACCTCCCCAAAAACAAAAGCCCAGGACCTGATGGATTTACAATTGAATTCTACCAAACATTCAGAGGTGAATTGGTGCCTATCCTTCACAAACTCTTCCAAAAAATTGAGAAGGAAGGTATAATACCTAACACGTTCTATGAAGCCAACATTACACTAATACCAAAACCGAACAAGGACAACACAAAAAAAAGAAAACTATAGGCCAATCTCCCTAATGAACACTGATGCAAAAATCCTCAATAAAATTTTAGCTATCAGAATCCAACAGTGTATCCATAAGGTAATTCACCATGACCAAGTAGGATTCATTCCAGGGACACAAGGATGGTTTAACATCCAAAATCAATCAACGTTATCCAACACATCAACAAAAAGAAATATAAAAACCATATGATAATATCAATAGATGCTGAGAAAGCTTTCGACAAAGTGCAACACCCATTCATGATAAAAGCCCTTGAAATTCTTGGGATACAAGGAACATACCTCAACATCATAAAGGCCATCTATGACAAGCCAACAGCCAGTATCATTCTCAATGGTGAAAAGCTGAAAGCAATTCCATTAAGATCTGGAACAAGACAAGGATGTCCACTCTCACCACTGCTTTTCAATATAATACTGGAAGTCCTAGCCAGAGCAATAAGACAAGAGAAAGACATCCAAGGAATCCAAATAGGAAAAGAGAAGTCAAACTATCACTCTTTGCAGATGATATGATAATATACATAGAGAACCCAAAAAACTCCACAGAAAAACTAATTCAACTCATCAATCAGTTCAGTAAAGTGGCAGGATACAAAAATCAACACGCAAAAGTCAGTAGCCTTCCTATATACAAACAATAAATCTGAAGAAGAAGAAATCAAAAAAACCATCCCTTTTATTATTGAAACAAAAAAAAATCAAATATTTGGGAATAAATCTAACAAAAGAGGTAAAGGACCTATACAAAGAAAACTATAAAACACTGTTAAAAGAAATAGAAGAAGACACAAAGAAATGGAAAAACATCCCCTGCTCATGGATTGGGAGAATAAACATTATTAAAATGGCCATCCTACCAAAAGCAATATACAGATTCAATGCTATTCCAATCAAAATTTCAATGTCATTCTTCAAAGAAATAGAACAATTATTGATGAAATTCATATGGAATCACCAAAAACCCCGAATAGCCAAAGCTCTACTGAAAAAAAAAGAAGGGAATGGAGGTATCACACTCCCAGACTTCAAACTCTACTACAAAGCCATAATCATCAAAACTGCATGGTATTGGAACAAGAACGGACATACAGACCAATGGAATCGAATAGAAAATCCAGAAATAAACCCACAGATTTATGGTCAACTAATCTTTGACAAAGGAGCAAAGACTATGCATTGGAGCAAAGAAAGTTTGTTCAATAAATGGTGCTGGGAAAACTGGGTCGCTACATGCAAAAGAATGAAGCTTGACCACTACCTTACACCATATACAAAAATCAACTCAAAATGGATTAAAGAACTAGACATAAGACCTGAAACCATAAAATACATAGAAGGAAATATAGGCGAAACACTACGTGATTTGCATATCAAAGACATCTTTACAGACACATCACCCAAAGCAGTGATAATGAAGGCAAAGATCAACAGCTGGGACTACATCAAATTAAAGAGCTTCTGCACAGCAAAAGAGACAATAACAAAAACAAAGAGAAACCCCACCAGCTGGGAGAACATTTTTGCACACAACACTAATGATAAAGGACTGATCACAAAATCTGCAAAGAGCTGATGAGACTCAACAACAACAAAGAAAATAATCCAGTCAAAAAATGGACAGAGGAGCTAAAAAGAAACTTCTCTGAAGAGGAAATGCGAATGGCCAGCAGGCATTTGAAAAAATGTTCAACATCACTTGCAATCAGGGAAATGCAAATCAAAACTACCATGAGATACCATCTTACACCAGTGAGAATGGCACATATTAAAAAACTAGCAACAACAAATGTTGGCGAGGTTGTGGAGAAAAAGGAACTCTTCTGCACTGTTGGTGGGAGTGCAAACTGGTCCAACCACTATGGAGAGCTGTGTGGAGATTTCTGGACCTACTAAACATAGAGCTCCCACTGGATCCAGCAATTCCACTCCTAGGTATTTACCCAAAGAACACAGAAACATCAATTCCAAAAAACACCTGCACCCCTATGTTTATAGCAGCACTGTTTACAATAGCTAAGCTTTGGAAACAGCCCAAATGCCCAAAAATAGATGACTGGATCAAGAAGATGTGGTACATATATACCATGGAATATTACTCAGCATTCAAAAAAGATAAACACATGCAATTTGCAGCAACATGGATGGCGCTGGAAGGGATCATGCTCAGTGAAATAAGCCAAAAAGAAAAAGAAAAATACCGGATGGTCTCACTCATAGCAGGAATCTAGAAAACTTAAATAAGGGACCAGGAAAATGAATAACTATAAGAAAGTGAAAATCAAAATCAACAAAAACTATGAACCAGAGACACTTTTGGGGGGAGGGGGGCGAGGGGAGGGATTGGGGTCAGAATGGGGGGATTGCAATTGTATGGGGAATATAAAAATAAAATTTATTAATTAAAAAAAATACAATGACTAAGGTAGCATCTTGATGTATCATAAAAAATATATATCAAAGTATCAAATGAGTGTAAAAAATTGTATACCTATCTTAACCATAAACAAATCATTCATATTTATCCTGGTGTTACCAAAATGTTTGAGAAGAGGAAATGTTCTAAATAAATGGCTATATTGAATTACTCTTAGAGAATACATAGGGTATTTATTGAGTCCCTAATCTAGTCTAGGTACTTTGACAAATGCACCTTCTAGCACAGAGCTACCAAACCATAGACATAGACAGTTTAAAATAATATAAGTAGTACTACATGTAACTCAGTCAAAAAATACACCATTCCCTAAATAGTTTTCATAGATTTTTCTCCCAAATCATGTACTGTGGACATTGGCTATATACTCTGAGAAGTGATAGAGTATGTTTTATTATGAAAGAAAGGTTTGTTAATTATAAGCATGATGGTCATTAGCATTAATCTCCTAGGACATAAACTTTTTCATAAAATATTTTTATTCATGATTATAATTCCCAGGTATAAACTTTTATCATTTTTTAAGGTTTATTTATTTATACAAGAACTGGGATACAGGCCAGAGGTGCAGGAGGGTGAGAGGATTCACCAGAGACAGAGAAGGGAACAGAACAGGCAGATGACCAAAAACACTGCTGAGGGGAGCAGCGGGCGAGACAGGAGAGGTCTGCTGCACCATGTGGGTATCTCCCTGGCCTGCCGGGAATCGAACCAGTGCTGCAGAGACTGCGAACATCTTCACAGCACTGTGTTCAACCTTGCTGTGCCACCGGGAAGGCCCCAGGTATAAAATTTTAATTTATTTTGTATGAATTCCTCTAAAACTCAAACATGGAAAAATCACATACGGGAAAACCTCAGTATATAAATTGTGATTCCTACTTCAAGACCACGTGCAGAAAAGGGGAGAGAAATGACAGAAGGCTAGTCTGGTTGTGATGACTTGGGCACAGCAAAGAACTCCAAGTCCTACTGGTTCTTAAGTGTGATGTAAAGTTTCTTTCATAATTGTATGGGATTGAGACAAATTTGTAATTCCTTGGACAACCACTAGATGTTTGACATATTCTTTTGTTAGGAGACCTTAGTTACAGAATGTGAACAGATATTAGTTTCCATGTGAAAGTCAGATGGAACCTCTTAGATAGTGGATTTTTCACCTTTTAAATGATGAAATTATATTTGACAACTTAAAATAGTCTGGCCCTTCCTCCAATAAACCAGAAGTTATTCAAATGTGTACACAGTCATTTCATCATATGAACAGATGTATGTGTATCAAGATATTTTTGTCTGGTTGTTGCCTGGATAGATAACACTGTTCCCCCACACCTCTGTTATATTCATGGATGTGTTTACTGCATAGCTGAGAAAAGGGAGCAAATTTTAGGAGTAAACTTTATCATGAGATAAAGATGAGAAAGTCGAGCAGAAGAGGGGAGTCAGGATTCTTTCCACTTAGAACTAATTTTTAGCACTTTTCTGAAAACTGGTCTTCAGCACAATAGTTTCAGAAAACACTGTGACAAAGTGTAACAGAAAGAAAGGTGTCCTCTCTCCTCTCATCTGCACCCAGCCTGTCACTGTTCAGGTCTGCAGGAGTCCTTTACTTTGAGAATCTCTGGAAACACTAGTACAAAAAAATCATCTCAAGATGACTGAAACAACATAGGAAGTTGAATGCCTGGGGAAACACCCAAGCCAGGGCAAAGAGTAGGCCTCACTCTCTTACTCAGTCCCATTTCTTCAGTATTCGCTTCATTTTAGCAGCATCTTCCCTTGTCACTGCAAGGCCACCGGCGACAGAGGACATGTTCTTGTTGTGCAATCCCCAGTATGCAGAAGTTCTTGTAGTGCTTCCTACTGAACATGAGAAAAGGCTTCTTTCCCAGAAGTCACAGCAAACGTTATCAAGTTTTTCACTACCCAGAGATTGGGTAATATGCCATTCCTGAACCAATCCCCATGGACAAGGATTTGGGACACACAGATATTTCTAAGCCCAGAGTCTCTTGGGCTTTGTATGTGACACTTGAGATCAAGGGGCAAATCCCTCCTGAGGCTTCTTACTGAAAATGGGGAAAAAAAGGGATTTCCTAAAGTGAAGATAGTGTTGCATCTATGAAGCAATGGAGAGCAGAAGCACATGGCAAAAATGTTTTGGTAGCCCCTGGACAGGGCATGGCAACTCAAATCAAGGGGATAAGTGGAAGCTAGAGAAGGAGAAAAGAAAGTCTATAGCCTTTCACAATGACATTAGTTGCCTGACTGGTGTGGGCACATTAGAGACAATCATTGTGAGATCCCAGGACTGTGTGGTGAGAAACTTCAGTCCTTTAGTGGAGTGTTGTCTTCAAAACTTACAGTTATACAAATAAAATAAATATAATGAAATGTTCACATCTTCCATTAGCTCCCCAACATCTCTTGTCACTGCCTACCTTAGCTTCCCCAAAGTTGTGTCCTGTAGAAATACAACAAACACAAATGTAGTCACATACATGATTTTACACTTTCTGGTAGTCACATTACAAAGGTAAAACACAGGTATAGTTAATTACGAAAAATATAATTATTTAACCCAATATGTATATATATATATATATATATATATATATATATATATATATACTCAAAAGACAATTTCCAAAATATTGTCATTTGAGCATGCAATCACTTTAAAAACATTGATATATTTCAATTATTTTTTGTACTAAGTCTTTGAAATCCAGTGTGTCACCCCTTAAAATTGTTGAATAGCTGGGCCTCCCCTGGTGGCGCAGTGGCTGAGCGCTGGGCTGCGAAGCTGCCCACAGCCTCTGCAGCGCTGGTTTGATCCCCGCTCGCCGGCAAGGGTCCCACATGGTGCTCAGACCTCTCCTGCCTTATGCTGCTCCCCTCAGCAGTGTACTTCTTCAGTCTGCCTGTTCTGTTCCCCGCTCTGGCTCTGGTGAATTGTCTTACCCTCCTGTGCTTCTGACTGTACCCAGTGCTTGTATAAATAAATAAATAAATCTTTAAAAAAATTGTTGAATAGCCACCCCTGATCAGCTACCACATGGGGCTGTAACTCCATAGTCTAGTCATATTAAACTATTTCCTTTCCCTGATGCTTCTATTTTTCTCTAACTTCTTTGCTTTGCACACCTTTCTGACCTGGACATGTTTTGCTCCTTCTCTCTGTTTCCAAACCCAACCTTATTGATCTGGCTAAATGGATTTTTGTCCTTTAGGGTTTTCTTTGTCAATCAGTCCTTTAAGAAAACCCTCCCCAAACACTACACAGGTCATATGGCTCCCCTATAGCCCTGTGCTTATCCCAGCTGTCCACAAGTTAATCAGCATGACAGTTTTTTGCTCATCAAGTCAAAGATCTAGTAAGAAATAATTAGAATAGGCTGTAAACATCTTAAGACCAAAGATCTTTGTCTTATTCATAATTGTATGCACAGAATTATGTCCTGTCAGTGGAATAAACAGAATAAAAGATTCTTGGAATTAAGAGGAAAAGATCAAAAGCTTAAATTAATTTGAATTTTTGCCTAAAGTTCTGAGGGCTTTAGTAACATCAAATTTTTCTAATGGGAAATTGTATTTTTTTCCTCGGTGTTGAGAAAAGTGAAGTATCTATCTCTTCCCAATTCCTGAGTGAGTTACATGAATGTAAACATGAATTAGGTCATCTTTGTCAATTTCATTTGTATTTATGAGTATTTTAAAATACAGTTTTGTGAGACTAAGTCCCAGAGACTTATTTTCACATTTATTATATGCCAAGCACTATGTTCAGTGGTCTACATACACATATAACTTGGTCACATCTCTTCCTAAATAATCCTTTTGTGGACTTTTTTTAAACCCTAGTTGTATTGGGGCCTTCCTGGTGGTGCAGGAGTTAAAGTCTAGTGCTATCAAGCTATGGGCAGCCTGTGCAACAAGCGTTTGATTCCCAGCCAGGGAGCTGACCCACATGGCACAGCAGACCTCTCCTGACTTGCCTGCTGCTCCCCTCAGCAGTGTATTTCAGTCAATCTGCCTGTTCTGCTCTCCACTCTGTCTCTGGTGAATCCTCTCACCCCCCATACCTCTTGCACACCAGTTCTTGTTTGCATAAATAAATATAAATAAAATCAGTTGTATTATAAAATATAGTACAGTATTAAGAACAGATTAAGATGTAACATAGTTTTATATCCCAGTCTAATCCCTATTTAGTCTTGTTAGCTCTATCAGTATGGCCAAGTTTTTTCATGTCACAAGTTATTGTTCCAAAATATTAAGTATCTTCTACCTCCCACTGAAAATAACACACTTATTTTATCCCCACTTGACTTTGGGTCTTCTTTGGTCAATGACATCTTATGTGGCATAAACAGATGTGAACAACCCTTATAAATTGTTAGTATCTTACACCTATTCATTTACAAAAGGAAATATGCCCAGGTTCACAGACTGGACTCAAAAAAAAAGAAGAAAAACTTGTGGAGTAGAGTGTAATCACCCTAACCAAGCATCTCCTTCCCCACTGAAAAACCAACCAACATTTAGCCCATTCCGTGTTTAATTTCCCTGATACCACATGGTATAATTAATATGCTATGTTCATCATACGTTAAGAAGTGTGTAGTGTTTCCCATGAGAAATTATAACATAGCTATCCTTCATCTACCTCCATAGTCAAGAAAATATATAGTTACTAATTTAATTGAATTTTGGGGTGGTTTTTTCCCCAACAGTTTTTTGTGGCAGCAACTGTTTATTAGTGAAACAGAGATAACAACACACATACTTCAGAATGGCATTGCAGAGATTAAATGTCAAGATTTGTGTAAAGACTTAGAAGAATTCCTGTCATCTAGAAAGTACTCTATATGTTAGGCATTAACTTTTTAAAAGAAAAATATGTAGCCAAAAGGATTTTTGAGAAACATGCCCAAGATCAATTGATAGTAAATGATCGAATTCTGGTTCTGATTTTACTAAACTACTTCAAATAAAACTTTGCCCTTTCAGAATTTACTAGAAAATTGGAGAATAACACTAATGTAAACTATTGGGAGATGCAACAGGTCACAATTTAAACAGCATGGGCTTTTTAGTCAGACAGACCTGAAACTTATTCATTGAATAAACATTTACATGTCTCTGGGAATCAACACTCATAGACATGAGGAATGCAAAGTAAATTCAGGAGGGTTTCTATGTTACATAATAAATGTTACCTGTCCCTGATAAGATTTCATGAGGATTAAATGAAATAACTTATGTAATGGGCTGCCACATCTTCGGTGGTCAGAAGACACTAGTATTTCTTGTTTCTTCCTTTTCTCTTTCCTTTCTCCAGAGAGTAATCTCACAGCTCTTTATGTATCTCATGAAGACTAAGTAAAATTAAATTTCCTCACAATACCTCACAAGAGAAGAGAATTAATTAAAGAAATGCTTTGGGAGAATGACTTAAGTACACCCAATTGTAATTAAAGAATTCAAATCCCAAGTAAATAAAAACAGTTTAACCAAAATTAAGTTGCATGATAGAATCAGAAGGGACTCCATCAACTTGTCAGGACAGTTATTTTCATTTAAACTTCATGGTATTGCACAGCATGTGTCTGTTCTTCTTTTGCCCTCCCTTCTGGCCCTAAGGACTTGAGATTGTACAGAAGTTTACCACTTCAACCACTCATTTGAATATTTTAAGTGGTTTTCACTTACTGTGATGGCTACTGTGGGTTAGTTCACTCAGTATTCATATCCAGCTACTTTTTGTGCTTTCCTCTAAAGTATAGAAATTTTTTTTTTTAATAGAGGCATGTTTTGATGAATGTGTCTTGTTCTTTGCAACTAAGGGATGCCATGGGACTTAGGACGCTTACTGTCCTATGTTAGGAGATATAAGGCAAAGTCTGATGAAGGGTCTCCAGGAATAATTTTATTGTTTTGTTAAAAATGAACCACCCTCTTTCCTGCCCTTTTCCTTCCTCGATCATAATACTGTTGTCTACAGTTTCTGTAATCCTTTTAAGCCAAAATGAAGTGCACAGTATAGGAGAAAGGACACAGCTCCATGATGACTTCAAGGGATGACATTCTCTCTACCTCAAAATTAATGACCTCATAGATACTGGCCAACTCAAAAAAGAGATCAGATTAAACAATGTTGAAAATGGCCAGTTTACTAGAATTTAGGAAGCACCGAGAGTCAGTGGTGAAGTCACAGATACGTGACAACAAAGTTGGATAGGATTTGCAAACATCTTCAGCAACTCTTACTATACTCTTGCTTGCAGCCAAAAACATTCTCTGTAGAAACAATTCACTGTCAGACTCCACAAAAGATACTGCACTGTGGGAAAAGAATTATGTAAATTATTAAGCATAGAAAATGTGAAAAAATCTATCAGCAGCATCTACTTTGACTAACAGTCATTAATAAAATTGAAGTGCCTCAGGACACATTTCTCTGAGAAAGGCAAATTAAATTAATATTTTAAGCATCATTATTTTATAAAACATGTTGAACATTTAGAGATTTCAAAATCATAAATAAAAATGAAAAAGAGGATGTCTGCTGTCAGCTCTGAGCTTATAGTTAACAATGCTACCCTGTACAGTCCAAATTATGTTATGTGATTTTATCCCCATCAAAAGATGAAGAGCTTGAAAAGAAGTGCTTATTTGAAAAATGGCTCACTGCAAACATCTAGAGAATAATCAATGGTTACTGAGTAGCCCATAAACTAAAATCCAAACCTTTCAAAGTCACCCTATCTCTTTCTTTCTTAGTCCCCTTCATGAATGTGCTGCTTCGGCCAGAGTGGGCATTAACTGCATATTGCAAAGATCATTCCCTTTTTTCAATTGCTAGGACCACACTGTCGGCCTCTTCAAGAGCTGTTGTGGTGGTTTATGTGTGAAGAGCAAGACTCTAGAAAAAGACAGACCTGACTTACCCTGCATCTCTAGTGCATTACTTGTTACTTATCCTTGGGTATTTATCTTTAGCTCTACTAACCCTCATATTTCCTCACTCGCATTTGGAGGTGATAATAGCCACCTCTTTGTTTTAATTAAAGCTGCTTATTTCAAGCACAAGAATAGTGCCTGACATAAAAAAAGAACTCCATGAGTCTTGTTTTTATTTCACTTCTAATTTGAATTTCTCGTGATCGTGTATGATGTCTGCTGAATTGAAATGATGCTTGTACTTCCAAGTCCAGCTGAGAATGCAGCTCAAAACTTTTTTGACCTAGCAACCCACAGTACTATCTTCCTGCCCAAACTTACTAGCCGTTTTCCTTATGAAGCATAACAGGCATGCAGTCCATGTTGTATTATTTATTGCTATTTTGCTAGGTATCCACTGTTAAGAACCTAAGCTCTAACAAGTGATTATTACTGCAAATGACTACTATATATCCCCCTGCTCTTCCTATAGTTTCACGCTGCTTTTAACAGGGAATTTAAACTTTTTTTTAAAGATTTATTTATTTATTTATACAAGCACTGGGTACAGTCAGAAGCGCGGGAGGGTGAGAGAATTCACCAGAGCCAGAGCAGGGGAACAGAACAGGCAGACTGACGAAACACACTGCTGAGGGGAGCAGGGAGCCCGGCAGGAGAGGTCTGTGTGCCATGTGGGACCCTCGGTGGTGGCAGTGGCTGGGGATTGAACTGGCGCTGCAGAGGCTGTGGGCAGCTTCACAGCCCAGTACTCAACCGCTGCGCCACCAGGAGAGGCCCCTAAGATATTTTTTATATTGCTAATTACTGCATGGAATTTTTTTCTCCTTATGCTTCGTGTCACTTTATCTACTGTTATATATGAAACAATAAGCAGTAGTTTCCTCCCTGACTTGAGGAACAATAGGGAAAAGGGCTTTTGACGAGTAGCATTGAACTTCAGAAAGTATAGACCTACCACAGTAAAAGTCACTCAAGTTGAGTCTGATAACCACCTGCATCAAAATTTGAATTTGTTCAAAATTCAGTTTTATCAGCTGCAATCCAAATCTACAAATCAGGATTTCTGGGGGGTGGACTCATGGTGCCCACATAATCAAGTACCTCACCAGGTCACTGTTAAGCCTGCTATTGAAGATTAGGCAAATGGAACCCTAACAGTATCTGTTAGCTTAGGCAACAAGGACCTTGCTCTGATTCCCCACTTTAAACAGCCTTGCTCTGCTGGGGAAAGCAGGCTGACTCTTTGGAAAACAATCTGAGACAGAGCTTAGTACAGGAGTTTTAGTAGGGGAAGTCCTTGTCATCAACCCTGCAGATGGGAGGGACAAAGATACAAAATTTAAAATTCAGGTGGTATGACAGCCTTGGCCAACCACAAGGGGGAGTGCTGGAGTTAAAATCAGTGCTGTCAAACGAGGAGGAAAATTGGCCAAACTTCATATTCTCACCTTACTCAGTCACTGGATGTAGGCTCCCCAGGAAAGGATATCCTTCGATTAGTTATCTGTCAGTGAGGACATCTCTGGAAGGATTGTGAGCACCTCTGGGAGTGGAGACTGCAAGTGTCTCTTTGATAGGAGATCAATCTGGGTGGTTCACTCTCAGGTCTACTACTTTTTATCATCTTCTGTCTGCCCCGTCCCATGGGCTGGATTCTTGTGGAGTCAAGAGGAGGTAGTCATCTAAAGCATTTATTAGCCTCTTCTCTAGACCATACTGCAAAGCCAGGACCCTGGATTTGCTTAATAACTCTCACACCCACGCACTGGAGTTGTGCAGATTTTTTTCCCCAGGTCTGACAGCACCACCAGTGTGAGTATCCCTAGCCCAAAAGTAGGGGTTCAAGACAGAGGGTACCGTTGTTCATAGGTGTTGATGGAACTCACACATGCAGGCTAATCTCATCCATATTTGTGTTCATGACCACTCACTATACGGAGCCAGGATGGACGACGACGAGGCAGGCTCTCAGCCCAGGAGTCCAGAACACTCAGTTCAAACAGAATTTAAGGTTGTTGCGTAGGGATATACGTCAAAGAAGGATGCTAGCACATATTTTATTTAACAATTCACTAATTTGATTGATAACTTTTTATTATTTTGACTTATGGTATATGACTTTCCATTTGTACTTTTGCCTCAGGCCCTGAAAATATGATTTTCAGGCTTGTACAAAAGTGTTTTCTCTGATGAGAGGAAAATAAAATTCTTGAAATACTTTCTTATATTCACACTCTTAAATTATCACTGATCAGCAAAGTCAGGCCCTGTAGTAATAGATTGCTCTAAAGGAGTAATCTATTAAGTGGAAGTTATAGAGTCTTCTAGCTGTTTCCTACTAAATTAAAGCAAAGAAATGTTTCTCTACCAAGCAAGAGTCCTGCTGGTTTCATTTGTTTTATGTGCTATACTTCTTGGCAAATTGGAGGATGGTGAGGAACCTATTAGTACATGTTTCCAGATGCTTCCTAAATAATTGTCCACAAAAACTCCTCCAAAATTTGAACCTCATTTAATATATCAGGGGTCATTTTGATGCTAAAGGGATAAGATTAGAAAGTGTAGAAAGAGCCAGAAACATTTGTTTCCCCATCAGAGTCCAAGGTCTGGGGTTGAGGTGAAGGTCCTGCTTCTGCCCAGGAGGCTCTGCTGAGGTGTGCAGACCTCTATTTAATTTAATGATGACATAGGGGTTCTTTAATTGACTTATTTCTTTGTTCATGTGAACCTTTGTTTTTTAGGACATATTCATTTTAGGAAATTTAAAAGCAGGACATCAACCAAATACAGAAAATCATAAAAAACAAAATTTTAATTCCCTAAAATTCCATCACCCAACTTAGCACACTAACATTTTAGTGCCTGCTCTGATAGACAGGCATATACATGAAGAAATATAGAAATACATGCATCATTTTGCCAAGGGAAAGATTGTACTATGTAGTAGAGATTTGATCAATGCGGGTGTTAAGTCATCAACCCCCAAAAAGTCAAAATTCTGCAAACAACTTTTGGCTCTCAAAAAAATTACTAATAGCCTATTATTGACTGGAAACCTTGCCAATAACAGATGATTGATTTACTCTCATTTTTGTATGTTACATGTATAATATACAGTATTATAGTACAGGAAGTTAGAGAAAAAAATGTTATTAAGAAAATTACAAGAAAAGAAAGCACATTTAGAGTACTCTATGTACAATTCAAGTTTACATCATTTGTTTACAAGGAAATTCACATATAAGTGGACCCCCATAGTTCAAACCCATGTTGTTTAAGGATCAACTCCATATGTTCTTGCAATGTTTTTATTAGCCAAAAATATATTGAGGGCTTCTTTTCATGTGTAAATGTATGGACATACCTCATTCCTTTTAATTGTCCTATTGTATTCCATTATATAGGCATAATTTTTCTTGATTATTCCCAAATGTTTTAGAAAACCTGACTTTTCTGGTGGCAAGTAGCATTTGCATCAATTCTAATTAGCTATTTAGAAGGGAATAAAAATGCTGAAAATTTGATTTTCAAAGTCTTACAATTGGTAATATACTGAATTTTATTATACTTTAATGTTATTTTGTTACTTATATGTGTTTTAATAGGAGAACTAAATTTTATTTAGAGATTAGTAATTTTCATAGTTAATTTTAGAGTCACTTTACTGATTGATAATGTTAATAAAGCCTTTTTTTGTAAGTACCAAACTTCTGTGTATAAATCTTAGACTGAAGGGAATTCTTACTAACTCATCACATTGAATTCTACAATGAAGAAGCCACTTGCACTAAACAAATGGAGTAATTTCCTGGTGCATTGACATTGCTGCTTTGTGTTCATAATGAAAAAGAAAGCAACTTCTCATAATCAAAGCTTTTGCAAGCTATTGCCCTGTCATTAATTTAGAGTCAAGAAAGTAACTCATTATCTAAATCACTTTTTGGAAAAAAGCAAGCTAGAATCTGTTTAGATTCGGTCTAAATCAGCAAATTACAACAACTTGGTTGAATTTTGGTACTCGTGACTATTTTTTGCAATCCCTTTTTCCTATTACAAGAATAATCACTGAAAAAAAAAAAGTCCTTAGCATGAGGGTGCATCAACGAACAGATTAAAGGAATATTGATTTAATTATGTAACATTAAATTTTACTTTGAAGTTATTTTAAACAATCTGTCTATGTCAAATAGAGGACGGTATGAATTGCATCACACTCCCCATGCAACTTACAACCCAAACTCCCCACTATAGGCTGGCAAACTTGCATTATCTTCTGTGAGAAAATCAGTACATAAGCTCTTTACCCAAGCAGACATAGAATCTATCTTCATGGCACGTGTTTCTAGACCAGGGTGTCTGAGGACTATACTTTGAGAAACTTTCTGTAGTATTTAGAAATAGTCTTATAGTTAATTCCCCTGTAGTGATGGGATGACAGTATAGAGTACCCAAGCCACCACATTTTCCATACATTCCCTTTGACTCCAAAGCATGCCTGATAGAATTGCAGCCTAGCTCCTTTCTGCATCTGTGTGATGGAAGCTCTGACATACAGCCAAGCAGATAATGATTTCTTCCAACCCCCTATCACCATACTCCATTCTTTGGCTGTAGAATGAATAAAACACCTGGATCCACAACTATGACCTACGTCTGCCTGGGCCTATCACCGTTTGCCATATGATTGATTACCCTGTGTCTGTGCCTTTTGGATGGGTTTGATACCATCATATTTTGTACACTGTCATTCAAACATCTCACCATTTTGAATGCCATTATTGAACTGTTTGTTTAACTGGAACAATAGTCATAAATTTCCTTTCTACAATTTTTGTCTCCACTGAGTCTTGGTTAATATTACCAGAATTCAATATTCTTATATCTAAATCCCCTCATGTTATAACCAGTAGCTAAGCAATAGTAAAATAATAGAAAAATGAAGTCACTTATTAAATTCATGAATTATCTAACTGAGAATAGGCTCCTAAAATAAAAGAAATGATGTGTTGATTTGCTTGGTTTTTGGCATTTGTTTTAAGAAGAGGAGCAGTTTCCTGGGAATCTGCCCAGAATAGGAAAATATGGGTGACTTAGAAAAACTGTGCTTGTGAAATCTGGTGGAAGATGAAGTTAAGGGCACAGAAAAAAACAGCTGCAAACGAGCTGATGAGAAAAGATGACACAGTCTCCCGTACTTGGTATCCACCCTGAGGTCTTTCCGTGTTTCCTGGGGCCTGGTCAAAGCCCTGAAGAAATTCTCTAAATCAATTTCACCCAGTAAAAGGCCTTTTCTTTACTGTTACCCCAGTTCTAGAGGATTAGAATTGTATTACTTTGGGAAGGTGAAACAAACCCTCAAATTGTTCATTTTCTTATTTTTCATCCCTCACCCTGATCAACTTCAAGTTATATTCCAAAGCCAGCCATTTTTGTCCAGTTTGTGACCTCATAATTTATTTTTTCTTGATTGTTTATGCCCCGTGGCATCCTCTAATCCTGAGGCTTGATGTCTGAGTCTGCTTTGATTGAATTAAGGGGGTAAAAGTGCTGTGAGGTTCTGGTGATGCCACACAGGTGATGTGTAGAGAAAGTCTGGTTAGAACATGGCAGATGTCATCAGAATGTGAAAGCCCAAAGGAGGCTCTAGGTGGTGGTGACTGCCTCTGTACCTGATCCATGAGTTCAGTTCATACCATGAGACACCATAGAGCCACTGCACTTCAAAGTACTATCAAATTTCCAAATAATATTTGAGTAATTTTATAAAATCCTCATGTTATTCTAATTGCAACATTCATATCCTTACTATTTCAATTGTTAAACAATAGCACATAGGTGTTATAAATATTTGTATTTGTCTATGTTGGAAATTTATTAAATCAACACTTGTTAAGTGGAGCACAGGATGTCAGATGGTGAGCCATGGTTCAACAGCAGACCACGAGAGAAGGTGAAGGAGAAAATTTATTGCTCACAGATCCTGGAGAAAGAACACATCCTGACTCAGGGGATCATAATATGACAAGACAGACAGAGAAAGGCAGGATCTGGGCACATGCCCTTATTAGGGGTGGTAGGCAGACTACTTTGGGTCTCTGGCTGGATCAGTCAACACTCATGTTCAAAACAGGAGTGAGGTTTGGGCAAGTCCAACTCATGGCTGAAGTGCTTAAGAGGCATGCATTGGGAGAGGCATGGGAGCCTGTTGATCACGAGGTCTGTGGGGAAACTCGCCCCAGGATTTTTTCTTGTTTGTTTATGCCCCGTGGCATTCTCTTGTAACTTTTTGGCTGCCCCCTGGGACATGTGCTTGCATGCAGGGGTAGTGAAAGTTCAAGGTCCCTGAAAACTGCTTGGTCAAGCAAAATGGATGTTGCTGCAGCGACATTATGAAGTAGCTCAGGCTAAGCACTCACTATGTGTGAAGCTATTGATGGGAACATTGTCTGTGACAGAACAGGTCCAGTCAGCTATCAAGTGAAATCAAAAATAACAAGTTCCCTACGTGCTCAAAACTTTTCAACCAGATTTTAGTATCCTTCTTTTACAGATAAGCAGACAAGCAAGAGACATTGAATATACAAAGGAGAAATTCAATATGACAGGCACAAAACAAGCAAACAGCTAAAGCTATTAGAAGGGAACACACAGATAGGTGTCAACTTGAGAGAAGATTAAAAAAAATGAGAAAAGAAACAACCAAAAAACCCCTACCATTAATATCCTGAGAAAATAAGAGAAGGTATTGCACCCATGAAAAAGAACAGAATACAATAAAATGATAGATTCAGAGAACAAAAGCCTTCAATATTAAAAAATATAATGGTAGGACTCAGTAGGAAACTAAAGGATAAAGCTAGGAAAACTGCCAGTATGTAGAACAGAAGATGAAATGAATTGTTGCAAAGACAATGATAATTAAGAACAAATCCAGTGTTGTAAACTGATATTACCCCTATTTAAAAAAACTAAAG